CGCAGGATTTGGGCGGAGCGGGTCCCTGGGGATCTGCAGGGAGGGAGCAGTTATGGCGACTCTCTGTTCTGTCCCTAGGGACTCTGCCTCACAAAGTCTCAGCAACCGCTGCAAACCTCGGAGAGAATGCTGCCCTCGAGTTCCGACCGAGGCCAGTCCGTCCCACCTCTCCCGTCTGCGTCCCTAGCGACTCGCCCGGATCTGGAGCTCAGAGTCTGCTACTCCCTCTCGATTGTTTGCGCCGCTCCCTTCGCCCCGCCGTCCGCGCCGCGCCGCCAGCCCTGCTCCGCGCGCACTCGTACCTCAGAATTTCACTTCAGCACTGCGCCGCCTCTGAGTCTGGAAATAATATTCTCTTTACTCCTAGTTGTAGAATTTCCACTCAGCCAGCCCTCCTGTGGCTCTGGACGTTGTCCTTTCCCTGGATCAAGCTTAATTTGAATTGGTTGTTCAAGGCAGCAATCTCTGGTGTTAACCTATGCCGCCATCTTCGGTTCTCCTATAAATGTTTTTTTAAAAGCTTATTTTGCAGTCTTAGTTTTTCCTTGGTTAAACTTATCCACAGCCTTGAAAGAGGAGTGATGAGAAATTTGTTTTAAAGTTGAAGCACTACTTATGGCTAAACACCTGCTTGCATTTTTAAAAATTCATAAATATAAATTAAATAAAAATTATTCAAAACTTAAAGAAATAAGCACTACAGCTTCCTATAAAATAACTCTATTTACACCACTTATTAGGTTTTTACTAGTTGTTGCACAACACCCTGTGATGCAAGATGAAAGCATTTGTTATGTAAATTTGCTGTGCCATGCCTGGTATTTGAAAATTGCCCATGTGTATGTATTAGTCAGGTAATTTGAATAATTTTACTTGAGTGGCCTGAAATTTTTAAAAAGACATCATAGAGTTCTTATCTTCCTGATCAATGACACATTTATGTGACATTAAGAGCCACAATCCGTATTCATTCATATTTTGGTTGACATACAAGATTTGGTATATAACGCATTTGGGTGTATGTTGTTCTTTTTATTTGTTTTTTTTAATTATAGAGAACTGGTTTTTTTGTTTTGTTTTAAATATATTTATTGATTTCAGAGAAGAAGGGAGAAGGAGAGAGAGAGACAGAAACATCAATGATGAGAGAGAAACATTGACTGGCTGCCTCCTGCAAGCCCCCACTGGGGATGGAGCCCACAACCCGGGCATGTGCCCTTGACCAGAATGGAACCTGGGACCCTTTAATCCGCACACTGACGCTCTATCCACCAAGCCAAACCAGCTAGGGATGTATGTTGTTCTTTATTATAATTTATTAAATAGTTAAAATGACATTTATTCAAATGTTTCTGGAGCTTTTATAATATTTTCCTAGTAGTTTGAATACTCCAGAGTTAAATGATCCCTTGAGGTTCCTTTCAGCACTGTGAGTCCTTGATAGCAATTGATTTTTTAATGGGGGCTGGTAAGTCTGGGGATCAGGTTGATTAAACTGTAAAAGCCCCAGAAATGGTTGTCTACCAATGATGAGACAGTTGCATGATTTTTTAAAAAATATATTTTATTGATTTTTTACAGAGAGAAAAGGAGAGGGATAGAGAGCTAGAAACATCAATGAGAGAGAAACATCGATCAGCTGCCTCCTGCACACCTCATACTGGTGATGTGCCCACAACCAAGTTACATGCCCTTGACCGGAATCGAATCTGGGACCTTTCAGTCAGCAGGCCACTGAGCCAAACCAGTTAGGGCTGCATGATGTTTTAAATTTAAATGATATAGCATTATTATTATTATTTTATTTATTTTAGCATTATTTTTTTTTGTATGTCCCATATTAGATGTCTGAATTAGTTTCTTCAGAGCTGATAATGCTTCCATGGTCCATTATCTTAATTTATAAGTAATTTTTTTTCACTTCTCTGATGATGTGCATATTCACTGTAGAAACTAAAAAAAAAATTTTTTTAAGGAAGAAACTAAAATTACCACAACCCAGAGGTAACCATAATTTCTCTTTTAGTGTTTTTATCTATGCATGTTGTAATATATTTTCAAATTGTAGGGGGAAAAATAAAATAAAATATAAACTAAAACTCTTTTTAATCGTACCACTCAGTGATAATCATTTTGGTGTATAACTTTCTATGCTTTTTCTACATAAAGTGTATAGATATACACATTTCTTTTGTAGCAATTTAGATCATATGCTAAATATACAGTCTAACTATTATTTTACTTACCATTTTATGAGAACATTTCCTCAGGTTAACAATAATTATTCAAAAATTTCACTTTTAACGGTTGCATATTACATTTTGTTAAGTCTAAAACTTGAGTTCATTTTACCCTTCTCCATGAATGGATGTTTTCAGTAGTTTCTACTTTTTTCACCGGTTTAAATAATGATGCAGCCTTAACCGGTTTGGCTCAGTGGATAGAGCGTTGGCCTGCGGACTGAAGGGTCCCAGGTTTGAATCTAGTCAAGGGCATGTACCTTGGTTTCGGGCACATCCCCAGTGGGGCATGTGCAGGAGGCAGCTGATCGATGTTTCTCTCTCATCGATGTTTCTCTCTATTCCTCTCCCTTCCTCTCTGTAAAAAGTCAATAAAATATATATATATTAAAAAAATAATGATGCAGTTAACTTTTTGCAGAAAATGTTCTGTCTCTATTTCATATAGAGTTCTACAAAGGGAATTATTGGATTATTTTTAAGGCATTTTAAATATACTAACTAGCTGATTTCTAGAAAAGTTGTACTGACTTGTACTCCCATCTCACTTTTTAAGAACTCTTTATAAAATTTCCTTAAATACACACATACCTTAGAGATACTGAGGGTTTGGTTCCAGACCACAGTAATAAAGCAAGTCATAATCTCTTTTTGCTGATAGAGGGTCTTACCCTCAGTTAGTAAACACCCAATACCTGTGAAGCACAATAAAATGAGGTATACATGTAGATTTGCTTATTCTGATGTAATGCCAATCTTGATTTACAATTTTTAAGAATGTTAAATCACTAACTGGTTTGAATTTATAATTTCATTTTTTAGTGAAAATGAAGAGAAATTTTAGGTTTTGCAACATAGAGATTAGGTAATTTGTATTGTTCCTAGGAAAATATAATGATTGCAGATATATAGTTATAGAAAATATTCTGCCGATTGTATTTTATTTTTCTAACTGTATTTTAATACAAATAAAAAAAAGTATTCTTGTGTTAAGGGTATCACCACAAGCCTATCTTCAATACACAGATTTGGTTTTAGAAATACAAGAAGACTGTGAAGAATAGAATACGAACTGCTTGAGGTCAGGGTCTTTGTCCTAATTAAATTGATATTCCAAGCATCTAGAGTAGAACTTCACTCAAAGTAAACACTGTAATGGATTAATTAATGGTTTTTACTACCTTGATCTCTATTATGATTATTGAAAACCATAGTTAAGTTAGCCTTGTTTCAACAACTTTTATCTTTACTTCCTGAGGTATGTTTTGTCAATTGAGAGTCCTGAAGAGATACGAGAATATGTTACTGACCTCCTTCAGGGAAATGAGGGCAAAAAAGGTCAATTCATAGAGGAGCTTATAAACAAATGGCAAAAGAATGAGCAGGAGTTGATTTCTGATGCTCTGCAGCCATCCTTCAAAAAAGATGGTAAGTTAATATAATTAAATAAAGATTGAAATATTGGTAAATGGGTTGGCTTACAGGAATTGGTATTTTTTTGTCACTCTGTATTTCCTCACAGCCAACTTAAGCAGAATCATATGTATACATAGTTTTAATCCAGTTCTTCCCAATTTGTGATGAATATTGTTCTAGTTCACATTTTTTCAGTTAGAAAATATCACAAAAATACTGTTTGCAGATATAAATGTGGCTTCAGAATAATTTGAAAGATTTATACATGGTTTAAAGGAACACTTTCCAGTTACGTGCATACCTGGTGAAGGTAAATGATGACCAATTTTAGTATAAATAGCATTTAGAAGTAACTCTTTAAGCACAGCATGAGCACCAACCTAAATAATCTAAGTCATTATTATTATGCAATCTAAAATATCAGATTTTAATTTAACTTCTTAATTCCAGCCAGTAGTCTTTATTTATCATTGACTACACTTTAGAAAGTGATGGTTTAAATTTAATTCTTGTTTGAAAGGAAAATAAAATTTAAAAACCTGCCTGACTTCATATCTTGACTTTAAATATTAAGCATCATTCTGGCCAGGTTACTTAGTTAGAGCTTCGTCTCCACATGCCAAGGTTGTGGGTTCCCTGATCGGGGTACATGTAAGAATCAACCAAGGAATGTATAAATAAGTGGAACAACAAATTGATGTGTCCCCCCCCCCAAATTTGGTCCCTTTCTCTCTACCCCTCTCTATATTTTTTTCTTCTTTACAGAAATTTTAGACGGGCAGAAATCAGGAGACCAGCTAAAGAGAAGTAGGCGGAAAGGGAGAAACAGACAGGAAGTTCCTGCATTTGCTGAACCTGACACAACCATAGAGGTCAAAACACCTTTTGATTTGGCCAAGGTAAGTGCTTATAAAATGAAATTTTTTCTGGCTATATGGAGAAGAGGGATGACTGTATAAAGTGTACACATTGGTCTAGAACGGCAATTTTTCAACAAATGCATGAATTTTATGAAGAGAAAGTGATAATTACTTTCTATATGGTAGTATTTTTGGCTGCCTGATTAAATAAATATTATAAGGACATCTTTACTTAAAGATTATATACATATATATATACACACACACACACACTTACATACATATGTGTATATATATACATATATATACATATATATATATATTTAATGTAAAAGATTTAATGAAGTGCACCAGGCCTTCAATTTCAACATTTTTTTAATGGGTTTATACTAAAAGAATGTACAATTTTAGCTGTTATTAGCAGTGTTCTTCTTTGGGCCATCTACTACCAACACCATCCTCATCAGCATTTAATGTTAGAGCTTTTTTGTATTCTCTCTTGGCAATCAAAATAGCCCTGTGATCAGAAAAATTTATAAGACAATTTGACCAGCTAAATTTCCCAACATAAGGGAAAAGTTAATTATGCTGAAATGGAAAAGTAGTGATCAGAAAATTCTGAGTGTGATGATTATGCAAAACATGGCAAATTGTTTACAAAATGATGTTAAGTTAAAGGGGAAAAAATAGAGATTTAAGCCTTTTAACGGTCAGAATAAAATGAGCAAAGACCACAAGCAAAAAAATAAAGACCCAACACAAATGACCAATAAACATAAAAAGATGTCTAACTTACTAGTAATTAAGACCAGTTCATCACCCTAATTGCTTGTGACTTTTGCTAATTGCTTAAGACCAGTTTTAGCATTGAAAGTCCTATCTTCTGGGATTCCCCTAAGTCCGGGGCAAACCAGGATGGTTGGTTACTGTACTCATAATCAAATAAATACACATTAATTCCCTTGAGATACTGCCTATCAAATTGTCAAATATTTTAAAACTAGAATACTTATGATGATGATGAAGTATTAAAACAGGAATCTCCTGTACATTGCTGATGGCAATATAAACTGGTTTAAGATTTGGGGACGAGCCCTAGCTGGTTTGGCTCAGTGGATAGAGCATTGGCCTGCTGACTGAAGGGTCCCAGGTTCAAGTCTGGCTAAGGGCACATGCCCAGTTGTGGGCTTGATCTCCAGTGGGGGGCGTGCAGGAGGCAGCCGATCAATGATTCTCTTTCTCATCATGTTTCTTTCTCTCTCCCTCTCCTTTCCTTTCTGAAATCAATAAAGATATATTAAAAAAAAAAGATCTGAGGACAGTTTAGCAGCATATATACATCAAGAGCCATGGAAAATGTTCATATACTTTTGACTTATTAATGTAACTTAAGAAAGTAGAAGTACATGCTAAAAATTTATGTTCTATACAATTTTATTTATAACTAGAGGCCTGGTGCATGAAAATTCATGCACGGTGTAGGGGATCCTCTCAGTCTGGCCTGTCCCCTCTCACAGTCTGGGAGCCCTCAGGGGATGTCGTACTGACAGCTTAGGCCTGCTCCCCATGGGAAGCGGGCCTAAACTGCAGTCTGGCCTCCCTCTGCAAGAGGCGACCGCCCCCATTAACCCCTCACTGCTGCCGCCTCTGGCCTCCCTCTGTGGGAGGCGACAGGGCGATCGGGGCAAGGCAACGCTCCCATCACGCCACTGCTGCCGCCACTGCCGGCCGCTGTGGCTGCCTGGGCCTCGGCCCTCACAGCCACCGCGGATGCCTGAGCCTTGGTCCGGCCCTCACAGCAGCAGCCACCATCCACGACTTTGTCCGGAAGGACGTCGGAAGATATCCAGTCTAATTAGTATATTACCCTTTTATTAGTATAGATATTGAAAATTTGAACTGACCTGATTGTTTAGTCATAAAAGAAGGATTAAATAAATTAGCCTATGTTTCTCAGTGGTTAGAGCATTGGCCAGAGAGCCAAAGGGCCTCAGGTTCCATGCCTAGTCAAGGGCACATACCAGGGTTGCAGGTTCCATCCCCGGCCCTGGTTGGGGGTTTGGACCTATGCAGGAGGCAATCAATAGATGTGTCTCTCACATTGATGTGTCTTTCTCATATCGATGTTTCTCTCTCTCTCTCTCTCTCTCTTTCTTTCTCTCTTTCTCTTCCGCCTCCCCTCTCCTTTCCACTCTCTAAAAAAATCAATGGAAAAAATATCCTCCATTTCCCCCTGCTCCTGTCCCTCTCCCTTCCTCTCTCTGTAAAAATAATAAAAAACATATATATTTTAAAAAAGACACTTGTTTACGGTATGAGAGCTGAAATAAGAAGGCAGACCATTGCTCTGTTTGATCTTAGCTGGAAATATGTGCATTTGGTGACTCAAATTTATTGCCATCTGTGCATGTCCATGAATGATTGATTGATTTTGGGGTTATAAATAAATTCTTGCAAGTAGGCAAATTCACAGATCTGGAAGCACCAGTATCAAACTGTACCTACAAATGGATCTGTAGATAAATATATCTTCAACTTTCACAGGCATTCATTTGGTTATTTTTGTTGCATGTTTGCTGTATGTCAAGAACTGATTTAGGTGTTGGAAATATAGCAATAAGCAAGACACATTCAGCTTTCTTGCTCTACTAGAGTGTACATTTTATTGGTTTAGAGGAAAAGTGGAAAAGACAGTCAAAGAAAACTTTTTAAGTAATTATAAATTGTGAAGACTACCATGAAAAATAAAAAGAACAGTACAATAGGCAGTAATTGGTAAGACGGACATTTAGATAAAGCCTCTCTGAAGAACTGAAATTATAGCTAAGACCTGAACTTGAAGTGCTGGCCCTCTCAGGAGCACGCTTGTGCCTTTCCCATTCCTCTTTACTTCCCGCTAGGCGCATTACCTTTTCCTTTCCCTCTTCTAAGCTCCAAGAGTCCTTCTTTTGCTTCTGTAGCTTGTTTCCTGAGCCTACAAAGCCCAGCTGGCTCACTTCTACTATCTCTGTAACTTTATAAATAAACTTTCTCATAATTTGAAGAAAAAAACCACACCCGAATCTGAACACGAAAAGGAACCAGATGTTAAGAGATGGACTAGGAACAGTGCAGATAGAGGAATTAACAACTACAAAGGGGAGATGGAGAAAAGTGTTCTAGGAAGTATCAGAAGCCCTATGTGCCTGGTCATAGTGAGCAGGGAAAGGATGACATGTAGATGAAGTTGGAGAGTACCTGGAAGCCATATGTAAGGCTTTATAGGTAATTAGAGGCCTGTTGCATGAAAATTCATGCACTGGAGGGGGGGTCCTCAGCCCTTCCCCTCTCACAGTCCAGGAGCCCTCAGGGGCAGGAGGCGACCTGGTGATCAGGGGAAGGTGACGCCCCATCACCTCTGCTGCTGCCACTGCCGGCAGCACAAGCCTCGGCCAGCCCTGGTTACCTGAGCCTCGGGAAGACCTGGGCAGCTGGGCAGCTGACATCTGAGGCTTGCCTGCGCCTTGGGTGTTGGCTGGGCAGCCGCCATCCGAGGCTTGCCTGTGCCTTGGGCCTGCCCTCGGTAGCTGGGAGGCTGAGGGGACGGGGGGACTCCAGAGGCAGGCGCACGGCAAGGCTGGGCCCACAGCGCTGTGGGCGCTGCCATCTTTGTGGTGGTGTGATGGTCAATTAGCATATCTCCTCTTTATTAGATAGGATTAGAAAGTAGCTTGGATTTTATTCTAAGCACAATGGGAAACCAATAATGATTTTAAGCAGTGGAATGATGTGCTATGAATATTCTTGCATGCCCCATTTTCCTATTCTCTATTTCTCTTTCTCCTTCTTGAGAAATACTTGCTTCCATTATATACAAGATGTCATCAAAGCCCAACTCTCAGTCCCTCAAATACCTTATTTTAATGTAACTGTATAATAAAATAAAAATGTCTGCTTAGAGATTGTAAAATGTTTTTATTGATTTTAGAGAGAGGAAGGGGGAGAGAGAGAGAGAGACATACATCAATTGCTGGAGGCTAATTCCAGCGGGTCATAATAAATGCGAGAAGTCCTCAAAAGGTTGAATGGACTCTTTCAGCAGGGCTGAAAATCTCCATGTTATTACCTGCTGCTGGAACAGCCAGACAGCAATTCCCCCAACCTGATGGTCCTTTATTCTTTAGCAGACCTTACCTTTGATATGTATATCTGCTTTGCTAGAGGGCAAAATGTGTGAATAAAAAGCCCTGGGTCAGGAGATTCGAGGAGCTTAGTCACTAGAACTATGTTTCCATCTGGCACACCAAAATGCCTTCCAAATTCCTATTTTTTCTCTAGTCTCTTCATTCACTCACACACAGCCCTTCTCGAAATTTCTGATGTCTTGTAGATGTGGAAAAGACCCCAGCAATCAGTAAGGAGAGAGAATCATCAATCAGCTGCCAACTGCAGACCCCCTACTGGGGATCCAGCCTACAACCTGGGCATATGCCCTGGCCTGGAATCGAACCATGATCTCCTGGTTCATGGGTTGAGCTACACAGGCTGGGCTCTGCTTAGAGATTTTAATCTTCTCTCCATCTCTATCCCTGAGAGCCAAAGATATAATTGACTAAGTTTGAAAAAATGCAGCCTACTAGATTTGATAAAATCTTTAGCACTTGTCTTACATTTTAATTTTTACCTAAGTTGACTTTTTTGATATTGTCTTTATATCTCAACTTTTGGCTTTGGACACTGGGGCATTTCAGATCTCTTTATACTTACTAAAGAATTGTTCTCTTTTAGTATTTTCCCAACTGCTAGACATCTGAGATTTTTCCACTGAAACTTCAGTCTCTGGAAATGATTGAGGAACTCTCAATTTAAAGGGAAATAAGACCACAATATGGGAGAGGCATCTATACACTTCACATGTTGAAGTGCTAATGCCCAATATGATGATATTAGGGTGTGGGACCTTTGGGAAGTTCTTATGTCATGAGAGTGGAACGCTCATGAATGGGATTAGTGCTCTTCTAAAAGAGACCTGAAGGACTTCCCTAGCCCCTTTCACCATGTGAGGACACAGTGATCTACATGTCATTTCTGGAAGAAGGCCTTCACCCAACCATGCTGACACCCTGATTTTGGACTCTCAGCATCCAGAAATGTTTGAAATAAATTCCTGTTGTTTATAAGCTACCTAATCTATGGTATTTTGTTATAACAGCTTGAATGGAGTGAGACAGAGGCTGATAACTACACTTCTCTCTTTAAACTTTTATTTTATAACACACATGCAGAACTGAACAGATGAATTTTCACAAACTGACCCATACTTGTATAGACAGAAACAAAACATTTCCATTCCTCTAGAAGATCCCCAGTGTTCCTCAAAATGACAACCCTCCCAAGGGAAACTCCTTTTTTTTTTTTTTTACATTTTTAACCATTTTTATTATATCAATAGTAAATTTGCTTTTTTCTTATTGCTTAAAGTATTACCAGGTAAAGACAACACAATGAAAGAAAATTACAGGCCAATATCCCTCATGAACATAGATGCCAAAATCCTCAACAAAATCTTAGCAAATCGGATCCAGCAGTACATCAGAAAGATCATACATCATGACCAAGTAGGATTTATCCCAGGGATGCAAGGATGGTACAATATCCGCAAATCAATAAACGTGATACATCACATAAACAAATTGAAAGAAAAAAACCACATGGTCATATCAATTGATGCAGAAAAAGCATTTGAAAAAATTAGACATGGAAACTCCTTCTTAACTTCCAACATCAGAGAACGTTGGAAGAGAATGTGTTGCCTGCTTATGAACTTTGTATAAATGGAGCTAAATAATATGTACTCTTTTGTTTTTGGCCTGTTTCAATTAACACACTTTATAAGAATTACCCTATTGTTTTGTATAGTTATACTTTTCATTCTCATTGCTACATAGGATCCCACTAAGTGAATACATCTATCTACTGTTGAACATTTGGGTAGTTTCCAATCCCAGTGCTGCAGTGAACATTCTTTTGCCTGTCTTTTAGTGAACATATTTACACATTTCTGTTGAGTATATATCCAAGACTTGAATTGCTGGGTCACAGGATATGCATATGTTCAGCTTCAATTTATACTCCAGCAGTGTATGAGAGCTCTAATTGTTCTGTATTCTTGCCAACACTCTGTATTTTCCGTTTTTCAATTTAGCCATTCTGTTTGGTATGTAGTTGTATGTATTGTGGTTTTATTTAGCATTCTCTTGATGATTAATGAAGTTAAGCACCTTTTCATGTGATTGTTGGCCAATTTGGATATTGTCTTTTATTACATTCCTGTTTAGGTCTTTTGCCCATCTTTCTTTTGTGTTATTTGTCTTTTTCTTATTGAGTCTATTTTTTAAATTTTTTATTTATTGATTTTAGAGAGAGGGAGGGATATAAACATCAATTTGTTGTTTCACTTGTATATGCATTCATTGGTTGATTCTTTTATGTGTCCTGGCCCAGGATTGAACCCACAATCTTGGTTTATGGGGACAGTGCTCTAACTAACTGAACTACCAGCCAGGGCCTTATTCAGTCTATTTCTTAAAAAATATTTTTATTGATTTCAGAGAGGAAGGGAGAGGGAGAGAGAGATAGAAACATCAATGATGAGAATCATCGATCAGCCACCTCCTACACGCCCCCCACTGGGGATTGAGCCCACAACCAAGGTACATGCCCTTTACTGGAATTGAAACCGGGACCCTTCAGTCCGCAGGCCGATGCCCTATCCACTGAGCCAAACTGGCTAGGGCTATTCAGTCTATTTTTATTGATTCTTATTTTAGTCATATTTCCAAATCTGTGAATATCATCTGCTTTTAGAAGCATTTTTATTTCTTATGATCTTCAATTTAGCTATGCTTAAATATGTCACATAATCAGTTTCTACTGCTACATCTACCTCTCACCAACTGTAATAGAAGGCTGAGAAGGTAAGGGATATTAGTGACTTTTTCTAGAGCATAATCTTTCCGTAGACCTGTGGTCGGCAAACTGCGGCTCGTGAGCCACATGCGGCTCTTTGGCCCCTTGAGTGTGGCTCTTCCTAAGCCTTAGGAGTACCCTAATTAAGTTAATAACAATGTACCTACCTATATAGTTTAAGTTTAAAAAATTTGGCTCTCAAAAGAAATTTCAATCGTTGTACTGTTGATATTTGGCTCTGTTGACTAATGAGTTTGCCGACCACTGCCCTAGACCCTTGATTATAATTAATTTGTATTTCTCCCATTCCCTTCCTTCTTTCCTGGCTTCTCAGTAGTGAGTAAGTTGTTACTGAACAGAACTGAAGTTCTCTCTCCTTGACTGTTTTCATTGTCATTCATTTTTTGATGTTATTTCTAATATTTTTGTACAATTAGGCACAAGAGAACAACAATTCCTTAAAGAAGAAGACAAAGTTTGTCAGTTTATACACAAAAGAGGGACAAGACAAGCTTGCAGTCCTGATCCCAGGTCGCCACCCTTGTGATTGCCTGGGCCAGAAGCACAAGCTGATCAATAACTGTCTGATCTGCGGGCGTATAGTCTGTGAACAAGAAGGTTCTGGCCCTTGCTTATTCTGTGGTACTCTGGTAATTGTTTCTTTTCTATTTTATTTTACTACTGTGTTTTGGTTTAATAAATAGGGACATTCACATCCCTAGCACTCTCTTTTTCATAGAAATTTCTTCCCTGTGATGTCCAGTAAACTGTAGTAGCAGGAATTTTTTAACAATGTTTTATCCTAGTAACAAGGCCTATTAGTGAAAAGAGTTTTGAGGATACACATTGTTAAAAGACCCAAGTCTTGTGTCAGATTTACTTCAAGAAAACTTTAGGGCCTAAAATGTAAAAAACGTTTGTCAGAGTCTTCAGATGTGGTTCACATCCCCAAGAAACAGAACCATTGTGACACAATCTTTGGGTCATTAAAGGTTTTGTTTCCAGGACAACTCCTCTTTATAGCTCTATATTGTCTGAGAGAATGATCCCAAGAGTGTAGCAGTTATGACTCTTATAAACACCCTAATGAGTTGTCTAAAAACCTTAACTATGTCAGCCCTGACCATTGTGACTCGGTTGGAGCATCTCCCCATGCACTGACAGATTGCTAGTTTGATTCCCAGTCAGGGCACACACCTGGGTTGTGGGTTTGATCCTGGTCTGGGGGGGGCTTGTGTGTGTTTTTAGGGGTGGGTGGGTAGTTGATCAATATTTCTCTCATAAATCTGATTCCTTCTCTCCAACCCCCCACCATCTCTTTCTCTCTCCTTCTCCCTCCCTCCCTCCCCTCCTCTTCTCCTTTCTCTGAAATCAGTAGAACATAACCTTCGGTGAGAATTTAAAAAAAAAAAAGCTTATTTTGCCAGTTGAGCTGGCTGGCCGAAGCAATGACATTTGGTGTTGTTGAAGGCACCTATTTTATACTAGAGGCCCAGTGCATGAAATTCATGCACGGGTAGGGTCCCTAGCACTAGCTGGCCATCAGGGCCAATCTAGGCCTTCCTTCGTTCCGCGCTGCTGCCTGGTGGTCAGCATACATCATAGCCAGCAGTCGAACTCCCAGTCAGCGAAACTCCCAAGGGGACAATTTGCATATTAGCCTTTTATTATATAGGATTGCTTTGTTTTGCCTTCTTTTATTGCTTTGTTCAGAGCCCTTAAGTTTTCGGTATACTCAGAGAACAAACTGACAGAAAATTGATGACCTGATAAATGTAATGTCTACCATCAGAAATGTTCAGAAAATGGCAGAAAAATATCTTCCCATATGAAGCTTTCTCTAGAGAAACAACCTATAGCTGCTGGCAGAAACTCTGTGTGCCACCACGGCAACTACTAGGAAGTACAGCATTTTCTGTTAGATCCCTTGGAGGTATAACAGTTCAAGAAACAGAGTAATGTAAAACATATTGGCCTTGAAGCCATGTAGCTTTCTAAGCTTAGTATGAAACTGTTTTTAAGTAACCCCTTCTTTGCCTCCCTTCTTAAAATTTCAGTAATTTTATAATAACAACTTTTTTTTTGCTTAATATATTCATTATTTTATAATGTTCAAAGGCAAAGAAGTAATATGTATATATATATATACATATATAGATAGATAGATAGGTAGATAGTATAAAAGCTAGGCTAGATTTCACTGGTGATTTTGTAATTTGCTTTTTTCTCTGCTTCTTTCTAATAAGATATCTGCTTATAATTTCTCCTGTAAGACTTGATTTCATGACTAGAGCTGGAAAGCTTTTTCAAAAAGGAAATATTGGCCCTGACCGTTTTGGCTCAGTGGATAGAGCGTCGGCCTGCAGACTGAAGGGTCCCAGGTTCGATTCTCGTCAAAGGCATGTGCCTTGGTTGCGGGCACATTTGGGAGGTGTGCAGGAGGCAGCTGATCGATCTTTCTCTCTCATCGATGTTTCTGACTCTCTATCCCTCTCCCTTCCTCTCTGTAAAAAAATCAATAAAATATATAAAAATAAAAAAAATAAAAAGAAAGTATTGAATATTTTTTCCAGTATTCTCGATGGCAAATCTTTCTCCTTTGAAAATAGGTTTTATATACGTGTGTGTGTGTGTGTGTGTGTGTGTGTGTATTTTTTAAATTATCAAGCCATTTAGGGTCACTTGCAGTGAGATCAGTTTTTTGTATGGTTCATGAAAGAAGGGAGCTATAGAAAGAGTAGGGCAAAACTCACTTGAATATATATTTTTTGGTATGTTTGTCAGACTAAAAAAGCACCAACAGTCTCATTTTTTTTATTGCCATAGCTAATGTGTAATTTAAGTTACTTTGTAGATATATCAAGCAAAAAACATAAATAACAATGGGATCATGTGACTTTTATTACTATATAGGTATGTACTCGTGAAGAACAGGATATTTTACAGCGTGACTCAAACAAGAGCCAGAAATTGCTCAAGAAGCTAATGTCAGGTAGGCAGTAATCTTTTGATTGGATTACTGTAGTGATGGATATATTTTGTTGTATCTGTGTTTATTTCTCTTTCTCATATCCTGGTATATAAGATGTACTTTATTCATTTATTCTATAAGCATTTATTTTTTTAAAAATTATTATTATTATTAAAACCACATAACATTGAGCAAAAAAACAAATAATAATGGTTTATAACCCGATGAGTAAAATATATCCTGAATTAACTAAATGAGGGAGAAGGGACAGCTCTTTCTCATAGAAGAATTCTAATAAAGTGAGAGGAGATTTCTAGTCAAGATGTCGGTATAGGTAAATGCAGTACTCACCTCCTCCCACAACTACATTACAACAATTTAGCAGAACAAACTCATGACTATTCTGTTGGAACCAATTTGTACTTCTTAATCCCTTCACCTTTTTTGCCTAATACCCCAAACCCTCTCCTATCTGGCAACCATCAAAATGTCCTCTTTATCTAAGTCTGTTTCTGTTCTGCTTGTTCATTTATTTTGTTTTTTAGAGTCAATTGTTGGTAAGTATGTATTTATTGCCATTTTATTATTCAAATTTTTGATTTTTTAAATTCATTTTCTTAAAGAAGATCCTTTAACACAGTGGTTCTCAACCTTCCTAATGCCGTGACCCTTTAATACAGTTCCTCATGTTGTGGTGACCCCCAATTTCATTGTTACAAATTGAACAATTAAAGCATAGTGATTAATCACAAAAACAATATGTAATTATATATGTGTTTTCTGATGGTCTTAGGCGACCCCTGTGAAAGAGTCATTCGACCCCCAGGTTGAGAACCACTGCTTTAACACTTCCTATAATATTGGTTTGGTGGTAATGAACTCCTTTAGTTTTTTTCTTATCAGGGAAGGTCTTCATCTGTCCTTTGGTTCTAAATGATAGCTTTGCTGGATAAAGTAATCTTGGTTGTAGGTTCTTGCTTTTCATCACTTTGAATATTTCTTGCTAACCCCTTCTAGCCTAGGGGAGCTCTGTCACTGGTAATAAACTCTTTTTTTCTTTCTGCTTTTAAGATTCTGTCTTTGTCTTTTTGCCTTTTAATTATGCTCTGTCTTGGTGTGGGGCCTCTTTAGACTCAACTTGTTTGGGAGTGTCTGTGCTTCCTAGACTTGTATGTCTATTTTCTTCATCAGGTTAGGGAAGTTTTCTGTCATAACTTTTTCAAATAGGTTTTCAATATTTTTTTCTCTCTTCTCCTTCTGGCACCCCATGATACGAATCTTATGCTTGAAGTTGTCTCAGAAACTCCTTACACTATCCTCATTTCTTTGTATTCCTTTTTCTTTAAAAAAATATTTTTATTGATTTCTGAGAGGAATGGATAGAGAGAAAGAAAAACATCAATGATGAGAGAGAATCATCAATCGAGTGCCTCCTACATGTCCCCTGCTGGGGTCCAACCCCAGCAGGTCCAGGGGTCCCCAAAGGTATGGACCGAGTCGGCGAAGAAGGAATGACACGGAAACAGCGTTCAGTTGATCAGCAGCCTTGCCAGGATCTCTAGCCACAATCTCCAGCCAAGTTCTGTGTCCATGTTCTCTTGCTAGGTTCTCCAGCCACGTTCTCCAGGTTCTCCAGCCAGGTTCTGTAGCCATGTTCTCTCACTAGGTTCTCCAGCCAGGTTCGGTCGCCAGGTTCTGTAGCTGGGTTCTTCAGCCAGGTTCTGTGTCCATGTTCTAAACTTAGGGCCAAGAATGTGAGCAAACATATTAAGGATAGTATGCCATATATGCCAGGTCACTTGAAACAGCAAGGATGGACCAGCTCCCAGCAGTCCCCCATTCAGGGATCGAGCCTGCAGTCTGGGCATGTGCCCTATTGGGAATCAAACCATGACCTCCTGATTTATAGGTCAGTGCTCAACCACTGAGCCAGACCAGCTGGGCTCTTTTTGCTGCTCTGATTATTTTGTGTGTTTTTTTCCTTTTTATTTACTTATTAATTAACATGTTAAGTGCCAAGCCTGTTTTGTCTTCTTTCCTGTTTAGCCCGTGATATCCAATTTCACTGATATGCTGGCAGCACCAGTGACTGACTGGTCTCATGGAAAGTATAGTGTCAGTCACTGGTGACTGACATGGCGGTTAACGTGTTAATTTATTATTATTTTTTCATCTTTATTGTTGAGAGTATTACAGATGTTCCTCTTTTTCTCCCCATTGCCCCCCTCCACCTGGTTCCTGCCCCAGACCTTCACCGTCCTATTGTTTATGTCCATAGGTAATGCATATCTATATATATAAAAGTCTAAGCAATGGGCCAACTGTGTGGTGACTATGATGCACACTGACCATTGGGGCAGATGCTCAATGCAAGAGTGGAAACCACAGGCATGGAAACATGGAACAGACTGATGAATCTCAGAGGGAAGGAGGGTAGGGAACGGCGGGAAGAGATTAACCAAAGATCTTAAATGCATACTAGAGGCCCAGTGCATGGATTCTTGCACTGGTGGGGTCCCTCAGCCTGGCCTGTGGGGATCGGGCCAAAACCAGCAGTCCAACATCCCCTGAGGGGTCCCAGATTGCGAGAGGGCATAGGCCAGGCTGAAGGATCCCACCAGTGCATAAATCCGCTTTTAATATGCATATAAGATCTTTGTTTAATCTCTTCCTGCCCCCTCCCCTCTGAGAATCATCCATATGTTCCAATTCCATGCCTGTAATTCTATTTTATTCACAAGTTAATTCTGTTCATTAGATTTTTTATTCATTTATTTTTAATTTTTAGATTCAATTGTTGATATGTATTTATTGCCTTTTATTGTTTATATTTTTTATCTTTTTCTTCCTCTTCCTTTTCTTAGAGAATATCCTTCAACATTTTATGTAATACTGGTTTGGTGGTGATGAACTTCTTTAGCTTCTTCTTGTCTGTGAAGCTCTTTATCTGACCTTCAATTCTAAATGATAGTTTTGCTGGGTAGAATAATCTTGGCTATAGGTCCTTGTTATTCATCACTTTGAATATTTCTTGCCACTCCCTTCTAGCCAGCATAGTTCCTGTTGAGAAATCAGCTCACAGGCATATGGGTGCTCCCTTGTAGATAACTAAACTGCTTTTAAGGTTCTTTGTCTTTAGCCCTTGGCATTTTAATTATGATGTGTCTTGGTGTGGTCCTCTTTGGGTTCCTCTTGTTTGGGACTCTCTGCGCTTCCTGGACTTGTAAGTCTATTTCTTTTACCAGGAAGGGAAAGTTTTCTGTTATTATTTCTTCAAATAGGTTTTTAGTATCTTGCTCTTTCTCTTCTTTTGGCACCCCCATAATACGAATGTTGGTACATTTGAAATTGTCCCAGAGGCTTCTTACACTGTCTTCATATTTTGGGATTATTTTTTCTTTTTTCTCTTCAGGTTGGGTGTTTTTTCCTTCCTCATATTTCAAATCATTGATTTAGTTCTTAGAATCCTCTACTCTACTGTTGCATCCCTGTAGATTATTCTTTATTTCACTCAGTGTATGCTTAATTTCTGACTGGTCCTTTTCCATTTTTTTTGGCATTCTCAGTAAGATCCTTAAAAGTCTCACTAAATCCCTTGAAGCACTCATTAAGATTCTTGCGTAACCTTATAACCATGGTTTTCAACTCTATATTCAATAGTTTGCTTTCTTCCATTTCTTTAATTTGTGACATGTTTCTTTGTCTCCACATTTGGCTGCTTCCCTGTGTTTGTTTCTGTGTATTGGGTAGAGCTGTTATGTCTCCTTGAGTTGGTAGAGTGGCCTATGTAGTTTGAAAGTGCCCAGGCAAGGCCCAGGTGTAAAGCAAGGCAGGCTGATACTAGTGCAGGTCTTGGGCATTTTGTTGATAGGTGTCCTATAGGGCCCAGTGGCTTAGCCTCCCCAGTCACCTGAGTTGAGCACTCTAGGTAAGCCCCTTTATGGGCTGTGTGCACAGTCTTGTTATAATTGAGACTTGATTGCTGTTGGTGTCATTGGGAGGAATTGACTTCCAGGCCAATTGTCTGTTAGGACCAGCTGTGACTACAGTGGGGAAGCTGCTATGCAAGAGACACCCTGATGGAGCAGGACTTGCTTCAGTGGGGTTTTGGTGCTCACTGGGTGTGCCCCTTGAGTGTGTTGCTTATGGATGTGTAGAGTTGTAATCTAGTATGGTTTGATGCTATCCTCTGGGTGCACTGGCTGTTGGGCCTCCAGGAAGGTGCAAAGTCAGCCACTGCCTGGGGTCACCCAGCAGGAGCTACAGAGAGATCTGCAGATTCCTCCTATTTGTATTGGGTTTGGAAGTGCCCAGGCAAGGCACAAATGTAAAGCAAGGCAGGCTGATGCTAGTGCCGGGTCTTGGGCATTTTATTAATAGGTTTGGGGCTCCGTGATCCAGTTGCAGTTTGTTTGAGAGATTTTAGCAAAGTCTGAAGCCTGGGCAAGGACAAGTCATTCATATGCAAAAGCTGCTGCACAGGTGGGGTGGGGCTGCAAATTGGATGGGGTGGGATCTCAGGGAATTACCATGGTGGGACAAACAGAAATGACTGCCAGTCAGCCCTGCAACTGGGGAGGTCCCAGCATAAGAGCAATGATCCCTGTGAATACCTCCGTCTGGAAGAAAGCTGTCCCCGAGTTCCTGCCCCATTGGCAGATAATTCAGTTCCTCCTTGTATGTACCTGTGTCACCTAGAGCCTCGCCTTGGTGCTGGAGCTCAGAGTAAGCAGGACTTTGTAAGTTCCTTCCTGCACCAGCCCTTTAAGAGGAACAGCTGGGTTTCCATCAGCCTCTGTACCACTGAGCCCCAATCCCTGCTGGTTTTTACAGCCCATAATTATGGGAACTTCTTTTCCCAGCTCTGAGAGCCTGGGCTGGGGGTCTGGTGTGGGGCTGGGACTCCTTGCTTCTCACGGAGGTGGGGAGGCTCCACAGAGACAGCCTCCCTCCCAATTAAAAAAGCGTCACATGTCGTAATCGGTTTGGCTCAGTGGATAGAGTGTCAGCCTGCAGACTGAAGGGTCCCGGGTTTGATTCCAGTCAAGGGCATGTACCGTGGTTGTGGGCACGTCTCCAGTGGGGAGTGTGCAGGAGGCAGCTGATCGATGTTTCTCTCTCATCAATGTTTCTAACTGTCTATCTCTCTCCCTTCCTCTCTGTAAAAAATCAATAAAATATATTTTTAAAAAAGCGTCACACATGAGTGCAGGTCAAGCTCATTCCATGCCTCCGGCCCTCCTACCAGTCTCAATGTGACTTCCATTCAGCCAGCTTTCAGGCAGTTCTGGATGATGGTTCTATATTTTAGTTGTGGTAGGCAGTGAGTACAAGTGTTTACCTAGGCTGCCATCTTGGTTCTCTGATTGGGTTTTTTTGCTTCCTTATATTCCAAATTGCTGATTTGATTCTTGGTTTAATCTGTTGATTCTCTGTAACTTATTCTTAATTTCTGTTATTGTTTCTTTCATTTCAGACAGTTTTTTTAATGGTTTCTGTGTTCTTTTTCATGCTGTTGAATTCTCACTAAGTTTCTTGAGCATCCTTATAGCCATTGTTTTGAACTCTGTATCTGGTAGTTTGCTTGCCTCCGTTTCATTTAGTTATTTTTCTGGCGATCTCTTCTTTCATTTGGAACCTGTTTCTTTGTCTCTGCATTTTGTCTGCTTCCCTAAGTGTGTTGCTATGTTTTAGGTAGAACTGCTACCTCTCCAACACCTGGTATAGTGGTCTTGTGTACTAGGTGTCCTTTAGGGTCTAATAACATAGCCTCCCCAGTCTCCCAAGCTGGGCACTCCAATTACACCTCTGTATGGGCTGTGTGCAGTGTCCTGTTGTAGTTGAGCTTTGATTGCTATTGGCAGTACTGGGAGGGATTGACACCCACCTCCCCCAGGCTGCAATAATAAACTGATTACAGCAGAGGAGCTGCTGTGCTGGAGCTGATCCTACCCAGCAATATTTGCTTTAGTAGGGCTTTGATGCTCACCAAGTTTGCCCCTTGAATTTGTCACTCCTGGATGTGGTAGGGTTGTAATCCGGCATGGTCTGAAGCTGTTTACTGAGTACACTGGCTCTGGGGACTCTTAAGAGGTGCAAAGTCAGCTGCTGCCTGTGCTCTGCCTGGGGCACCCAGCAGGAGCTACTGAGTGATCTGCAGATGGCTGCTACTTATGCTGATCTTGAAGGTGCCCAGGAGAGGCTAAGCTGCAAACCAAGGCTAGCTGCTGCTAGTGCCAGGCTTGGGCCCACTTAGCAAGAGATATGGGGCATGCCAAGACCGGATGCTGCTTGTTTGTAATTTTTGAACCTTTAAGAGATTTTAGGAAAGTCTGCAGCAGGAGCTAAGACAGGCAGTTTGTATGGAAAAGCCCCTGGAAACAGCTTGGGTGGACCTACAAGTTGGTTAGGGCAGTGTCTCAGGGAATCACCAGGGTGGGGTGAACACTGTGAACCAGGTTGATGGAGAGTCAGATGTGGTGCCTGCTGGCTCTGTTGGGGAGGAGGGTCTCAGAAAAAGAACAATGATCTCTGTCAGCACTTTTATCTAGTAAAGAGCTGTCCTCCGCCAGCTTTCCCCCTGATGTCAGACAATTCAATTCCTCCCCATATGTTTCTGATGCCTTTCAAGTTGCTGCCCCTGAACTGGATCTCAGTGGAAGTGAGTCCTAGTAGGTTCATGCATGGGCCCTTTAAGAACTGCCTGGGATTTCAGCAGCCTCTCACTCAGCCACACTCCCCGCTGGTTTTTACAGCCAGAAGTTATGGGGACTTCTCTTTCTGGTACTGGAACCTGAATGCTGGGGGCCTGGTATGGGCTGGAACCCCTTGTTCTTCAGAAAGTCCTCCTCAGCTAAGGTATTTCTTCCATTTAAAAAAATTATAACATCCAAAGTAAATCATCATTTTATTTTTTTATTTATTTATGTTTGTTTGTTTGTTTGTTTATCCTTACCTTCTTTCCACTGACTTATAAAGAGAGTGGAAGGGGTGGGGAGAGAGAAACATTGATTGGTTGCCTACTGCACGCTCCCTTACGGGGGAGGTAGTCAAGCTCGCCAACTGAGGTATGTGCCCTTGACCAGAATCAACGCTGCAACCCTTTAGTCCACTGGCTGATGCTCTAACCACTGAGCACCCGCCAGGACTTCTTTCAATTTTTATCTGGTTCACATGGCTGTGGGACCTGCCTGTTTTGTGTTTCTGCCCATCCTATAGTCTAAATGTGGCTTCTTCTGTAAATCTCTAATTGTAGAACTAACATCCAGCTAGATTTCAGGCTGTTTAGAATGATGGTTGTTTTGTAAGTTTAGTTGTAATTTTGACATGGTTGTGGGAGGATTTTCATGCTGCATTTATCTACATGACCATCTTGACTGGAAGTCCCCTCAATATTTTTTAATTAGGATTTCTTTAAAGTCATTATTATGAGAAACGATAGTTCTAAGTGCTTTTTCAGCTGCCTCCTGCACACTCCCTACTGGGAATGTGCCCGCAACCAAGGTACATGCCTTTGACCAGATTCGAACCTGGGACCCTTGAGTCTGCAGGCTAACGCTCTATCCATTGAACCAAACCGGTCAGGGCTAAGTGCTTTTTTTATATTCAGAATATAAGAATCAGTCAATCTCTCTTGCTGTCTTTTTTTGTGTCTGTATGTTTGTTTAAAACATATATTTTTATTGATTTCAGAGAGGAAGGTTTAGGGGGAGAGAGATAGAAGCATCAGTGATGAGAGAGAATCACTGATGGACTGCCTCCTGCATGCCCCACACTGGGATTGAGCCTGCAATCCACGCATGTGCCTTGACTAGGAATCGAATTGTGACTTCCTGGTTCATAGGTAGATGCTCAACCACTGAGCCAAGCTGGCCGGGCTAATTTTTTTCCTCATCTGATGATGTGAGTTTTTTCATTGATTCCAGAGAGAGAGGAAGTGAGAGAGAAGGAGAGAGAGAGAGAAACATCAATTGGTTGCCTTTCATAGGCACCTCAACCAGGATCAAACCCACAACCTGTGTATGTGCCCTGACCCAGAATAGACTCATGACCCTTCGGTGGGTGAATGGGACAACACTCTAACCACCTGAGCCACACCGGCCAGGGCTGTTTTTAAATTTTAAAAGGAAGATTTAATAGGATTTTGAGATAAAGAGAAAGGTCAGCCTTCATTATAGCCTAGTTGTTTTCCTAACAACTTTTAGATCTTTGTTTTGGCTCTTTTTCTGGGAGTTATAGATTTATAGTATGCTGTCACGAAGTAGATAACACAAGGCCAAGGAATGAATGTGGGCTTTAATTAGACCTAAGTTTAAATTTTATTTTTACTTTCTAATTTCTGAGTGAATTCAGTAATTTTATTATTTCTGAACTTTGTTTACCTGTAAAACAGATAATACAAACTTTCTGACAAGGTTATTATGAGTATTAAATAATGTATATTAAGTGCCTTAATATCTAATAAGTTCTCATTATTTCTATTTTCTTTTTGCAATTTCTCCTGTTTCTTCCATTATTTATTTATTTTTTAAAATTTTATTGATTTCAGAGAGGGAGAGGGAGAGAGAGATAGAAACATTAACGATGAGAGAGAATCATTGATCAGCTGTCTCCTGCATGCCCCCTAATGGGGATCAAGCTTGCAACCTTGCCATGTCCCCTGACCAGGAATTGAATCATGACCTCCGAGTTCACAGGTCAATGCTCAACCACTGGGCCACACCAGCCAGGCTATTTCTTCCATTA